ATGGGAGTCCAGCGACATAGCCATTACACTAACTGCTGGTCCCCATGTTTATTTTCTATTCTTTGTACTTGCTCTTTATTTGTTCTCTCCTCACTTTTCCTTCCTTTTCTGATTTTATTTGAGCATTGTAAAGCATTTATTTTATACATTCAATCACGGTACATCATTACAGCTTGTAAAATGAATTTCCCCGCATGAATACACTGTTTATTAGTTTAGTTAAAGATAATATCAATAGGGATTATGGCATGGTCATCCTCCTTGGGGGGTTATTTCTTACTTTCCCTATCTGTCTGTCTGTTTTTCTCTTTCTTTGTTACTCTCTGGCAAGTGCATGCACCCTCTGGCAAAACTAAATAAAATTTTTTTAAAGAATTATTTTAAATTTCAATCATCATCATCATCATTACTTTAATTTAAGACAGAGAGAGGGAAAGTGAGAAAGGGAGAAAGCAAGCCACGAGGTCCAGGTCTTGAACCACAATCAGCCATGTGAGAGTTCAGTGCACCTAACCTCCACGACACCTTCTGGCCCCAAGAAAGAAAAATTCTGTGTCATTGCTGAATCTGATTCTGATGCTTGCTTTTTCTCCTTAAGCTGCCTTGTGGAATGCTTTGTAATTTCCTACAAAGTCAGACATGATATATTGAATAATAAAAATTCAGGTAAATAGTCCCTTGATGTGAGGTTTTGTACTGATTTGCCCGTTTGTTATAATAGTGGGTGCCAGAGGCATCAAATTCCTCTAGTATCCATGTTCTTTTTTCCTCCGTGTCTTTTTTGGTTATGTCAGAAAACTTGAAGTTTGTATCTTACAGCTCTTTCAATGTAATGCACTGATATTATACGGGGCCCTTTATGTCCTTCATGAGAGAGAGAGAGTAGGGGAGAGGGAGAGGGAGGCACCTGCGGGTTCTTGGCTGCTGTTCCACCCCCAGTCTCAACTGCCCCAGTCATAGGCACAGAGCTTACGTGTGCCCTCTGCATGCTCAGGGAGGTCCTGAGGTGGGGATGAACCCAGGACCTCTCCCAAGTGGGTCCAGTCGTGTTATTTCTAAGCCACCCTTGGCCTTAAGTCTCACGTCTTTGCTTGGCCCTGTGATCTTCTCAAGTGTTTCTTAGCCCCTCCCACTTAAACGAGACAGGATAGCTAGAAGGTTTGGAGTTGGGAACTCTCCTTCCCTCTTGGGAAAATGTCACTGAAAAGTTTGGAACACATTGGTCTAGATTAGAGATGGGCAGACTTTTCCAGTAAAGGGGTAGATAGTAAATATCCCAGGTGTTGCGGGCTGTATTATCTCTGTTGCACCTACTGAACTCTGCTGTCAGAAGCAGCTACCGTAATACTTAAACAAATGACTGACTATGCTTCACTCAACATGTATCTGCAGGTGGCTGGATTTGATCCATGGATCATAGTTTATCAACCCTAGTCTAGGTCAGTGCCTTTTCATTTTCATTCCATATCTGATCTAGCGTTGATCATCAGTAAATGATGGCACTCTTTTACTTGCATACATTTTATCATATTCATAATATGTTGGGATAAATATTTTCATATATTAATCAGAGTCTTTACAATAGTCTGGCCAGCCACAGCGGTGCAGACGTAATGCAGTGGTCCACAATGATCAGGCTACATAGGCAGGTCCCAAGTTGACGTTCTGAAGTAAAAGGACATTCTGAAAATCTTAAGATTTAAGCATCATAGGTTTAGGCTCTCTTTATGAATTTAAAACCTATCTGAAAAAGTCGCCATGAAAACCTGAGTAATAGAAAATTTGCAATTGAATAGTTTTTTTTTTTTTTTTAATTGAGAGATTTTTGCTATGGTGTACGTGCGCTCACCAGAGAGACAGAAACAGACAGAAATTGAGAAATCAACCCCCGAGGGCATGGCCACACCATACTCCCTTCTCATCCATTCTCCTCTCAGGATCGTGGGCACGCATGCACATACACCCAGTATTAAGTTTAAGCCACTGGGTCTGGGACTTGAACCATGGTTGATTACATGGGAGTTCAGCGATATAGCCATTAGGCCATCTGCTATTCCCCCAGTATGTTAATTTTTTAAAAAAGATTTTTGTCATGGTGTGTGTGCACTTGCCAGACAGAGATAAGAAAAGGGGAAGTGAGAAATTACCACCCCCCCCCCAGAGGGATGGCCATGTTGCAGTCTTGTCTTCTCCATTCTCATCTTGGGCATGCTTGCACGTGCTCCTGGCATCATTTTCAAGTCACCAAGTCTGGGACTCAAACCACGGTTGGCTTTGTGAGAGTCTAGTACCACAACCACCAAAGCTACTTGCTGGCCCCTATAGTGTGTGAATTTAAAAATAAAGATTTTTTTTTCCCCATAAGGGTTCATACACTCATGAGGGAGGGAGGGAGGGAGGGAGGGAGAAAGAGAGAGAGAGAGAGAGAGAGAGAGAGAGGAGAATGACCTTTATTCTCCCTCTTGGTATTTTGGGCACACATGCACATATGACTATTGGTTCTGGGACTTGAACCTCGGGAGTTGGCCATGTGGGATCCAGTGCCTTAATTATGATGCTACCTGCTGCCCTGCCCCCCAAATTAAGTCTATTTTTATTATTTCACTTTTTCACATAGGCATGTTAGGTATATTAAAAGTATTTTAACAGATACCTAACTCAAGATCGGTAGATGGTGGTACAAGGACTGAAATCTATTATAACAGTGGCCTGGGGTTTTATTGTAGAATTCTCCTTAACTAACAAATGTATTGGGTTATCAGGAAAGGTAATGATAATTCTGTATAGAAAAACATAGAAAAAATACATTATGACTTTTTTGACAGCTCAATATAAGAATACTTCAAAAAGTTTTTGGGAAAATGGAGTTAAAGGAAAAATCCATTGTAATTTTATTATTTTTTAACATTTCTGTCTGTATGTAGGTACGTAATGTATTTATTTATTTGTCATGATTTTCAAGCCACCCAGTCCAAGACTCAAACTGCAATTAGTCTTGTGGGAATCTACCACCTTTCCCATCATGTGACATGCTGGTCTTAAGTACAAGTTTTGTTTTTTTTTTTTTGCTTTTGGGCGCGTGCGCTTGCCAGACAGAGACAGAGACAGACAGCAAGAAATCACCCCCCCCAGGGGGGATGGCCACGCCACAATCCCTTCTCCTCCATTCTCTCGGGATCTTGGGCACAGACGCACATGTGCCTGGCGTGAGTTTTAAGCCACCAGGTCCGGGATGTGAATCGTGGTTGACTACTTGGGAGTCCGGCGACATAGCCATTACGCTAACTGCTGGTCCTAGTACAAGTTTATTTTGATGTGAAGAATTTTTGAAATTTATGCGTAGATTTTTCTTTTAAAAAATTTTATTACCAGAGGGTACTTGTGCTTATGAAAGAGAGAGCGTGTATGCAAATGTGCCAATGAGACTTGTTTGATCATATGTAATCTTTTTTCTTTTATTTCTTCATCTTATAAGGATTTGAGGCATTCTCTCTCTCTCTCTCTCTCTCTCTCTCTCACACACACACACACACACACACACACACTCACACACACTTACACATCTGGTATATTTTTCTTCTTTTTTCTTTTCCTAAGTCATTGGGCTGGGATTTGAACCATTGTTGACCATGTGGGACTTGACTCCCTATTTACAATGCTTAGCCGTCATGCTGTGGGCCATGACCACTGCATTGTGTGTTTAAATGGTTGGTTTTGCTACAAGACTATGGGCTCCTTGAGATCCAGAACTGATGTTCCTAACACCTAGAATGTTTATGGTATTCATGTTGGTAGGCACATGTTTTTAGTCATGTAGTCCTTAATTCAGATCCTGCCTCCATAACTAACTTATCTGTATGATGTTGCTTATTTTAACCTCTGTTTATCAGTAAAATGGAAATCATACTACCACTCTTTTATAATTATTGTAAAAATTAAGAAAAAGACCCAGATACATGTCTGATACATAGTATGTACAAAAAAAAGTAGTTGGCTTTTATTATTATAACTTAAGAAGTAGACATAGTGCCATTAGGTCCAGACTTGGACTCTGTGCAGAGCTTGATATTAAGTGTTTGACCACAAACTGGATGAGAATCAAGAATGTGGTACTGCTATTTTTGTGTGTATATATACTTCTCCTTCCCACACAAAATAATGGGATAAATTAAAAGGAATATGTATATAAGAGGCAGGAAACAATCCTTCTGTTATATTTGGCTTTGCTCAGACTCTTATTACAGTATCATGTCCAGTTTTACATTGCTCATTTTAAAGGGGATGTCAGAAAGCTATATGTAGTGTGTCCTGGGAAGAATCAACAACTATGATTAAAGGGGTAGGAGTAGGACCTTTGAGGCAAGTTTAAGGAACTAAGTTTGTTTACTCTGGAAAAGAGACAATAAAGAAGTTATTTAAATATCTTCAAGTACATGAAGGGTTATTGTAAGGAGGATATTCTCAAGTTGTTCTTCAAATGCACAGAGGACCAAAGGAGGAAATCAACATTTTATTTAAAGAAAATTGTGTTAAACACTGAAGTTGACTACTAAGGGGTGACATAGATCTCCATTAAAAAATATATTTAAAAAGAGTAGCAGCAGATGGTTACTTATTGAAAGGTTTAACTGTTTGACCTCATGCAATCAGAGGAATGTAGACCTTATAGCCTTTTTTATTTTACTAACTTTATATGATTTTCTAATATTTACTACAATGTAACGTATTGAACATATCCTGGATATCTTATTGGGAAACCACTTAAAATTTTAATGTAATTATATTTTCTCTTGCATTGTATCTTAATTGTTGGATTTGTCTTGAATGAAAACAGTTAATATTTTTTATCTGCTAGTAACTAATATAAGTCGAAAACACTCTACATTTATATTTTTGTACCCTGATTGGCATAGCTGAAGCATTATTCAAGAATATTTATTAGTAATTTTTCTTTCAAGTAGTGCTTTACAAATACTCTATAACTAACTCTTTTGTAACAGGGGGTCCTTTTGGTATATGATGTTACAAATCATCAAAGCTTTGAGAATTTAGAAGATTGGTATACTATGGTGAAGAAAGTGAGCGAAGAATCAGAAACTCAACCATTGGTTGCCTTGGTGGGAAATAAAAGTAAGTTATTATTGCTTCTTTATGTATAGTAAAGTTTATTTGCTGCTATGGACTGAACATTTGTGTCCTTTTCCAACTCATGCGTTGAAGCCCTAATCCACATGTGCTGTTGGAGACGGAGCTTTTGGGAGGTAATTAGGTCACGAGAGTGGCCACCATGAATGGGGTCAGTGTCATTATCAGAAAAGACTTGAAAGGAATGATGTTTCTCTTTGTCATGTGGGATATAGAAGGCAAGGAAGTAGTCACTTGTAAACCAGGAAAAGGGCCTTCACTGGACACTGAATCTTCTGGTACCTTGAACGTGGACCTCCCATTCTTCAAAACTGTGAGAACTAGTTCATTGTCTAGGCTATGTTTTAACAGCTTGAACTGAGAACTAAGACATTGGCTTTTTCTGTAGCTTTTACTTCTAAAAAAAAAAAATAAATAAAAGGTTTGGTATTTTGATGCTGCTGTTTTGGAAAGAGCAAATTGTTTAAGAAGAACATTTATAGGGTGTGTACGATCTTTTCAATAACTATTTTGATGCTGGGTCTATCGTAACTGCTGTTACTTTGTGTAAGTCCTATGGAGGTGCTCAGGTCTGACAGTATATGTTTTAGCTTCCTGTGGTCTAAGGAAGCAGCACGGACTATTAAGAACAGCAACACAGCTGCAGATTTTATGATTTTGCATTGCAGACTCAGCTCTCTCCCAGGGGTTTTGAGAGGCACATTTCATTAAATGAGCTCCTATTCTAGGGAAGGAAAACTGTGTGGAATTTTATATTCAGTGGTCTGTGCGCCCATTTTCTTTCTTTTTTTTTTTTTAAAGAATTACTTCACTTAGGGACCAGCAGTTGGCGTAATGGCTATGTCGCTCGATTCCATGTAGTCAACTGCAGTTCAAGTCCTGGACCTGGTGGCTTAAACTCATGCTGGGCATGTGTGTGTGCATGCCAAAGATCCAGAGAGGAGAATGGAGAAGAGATTGCGGGCGTAGCCATCCCCCTGGGTAGTGATTTACTGCTTTCTATCTCTCTCTGTCTTTTCGGTGAGTGCATACGCCCGATAGCAAAAATCTCTCTCTCAAAAAAAAAAAAAAAAAGGAATTACTTTACTTCGTTTTATTTTTATTATTATTTTTTAATTTGACTGAAGAGAGACAAAGTGAGAAAGCAAGCTGCCAGGTACAGGACTTGAACCTTGCTTGGCGATGTGGGAGTCCAGTGCTTTAAGTACCATGCCAACTGCCAGTCCAGCTCCCATCTTTTTTATTTTATTTTATTTTTTGAGAGGTTTTTGCTATAGGATGTGCGTGCTCTCCAGAAAGACAGAAAGAGACAGAGAGACAGAAAGCGAGAAATCACCCCCCAGGGGGGATGGCCATTCCACAATCTCTTCTCCATCCTCCTTTGGGCACACACACACACGTGCCTGGAATGAGTTTAAGTCACCAGGTCTAGGACTCAAACTGTGGTCGATTACATGAGAGTCCAGTGCCATAGCCAGTATGCCAACTGCTGGTCCCCAGCTCCCATCTTTTTTAAATGTCTTTTTCTGAGTTTTGGGGATTTATTTTGAAATTTTGTTTTTGAAAAATAACATATTGGGAAAGTAGCAGTACTTGTAAAAATTATGAGTAAGTAATTCTTGAGATCTGTCTCTTGTGATATGATGTATAATATTTAAAAATCCAAAAATTTAATTCAGTAAAGACTATTTGGTTCATAGTCATGCAGTGTAACCTGGAAAAGGAGACATTAATAACGGTTTTTAAATAAGTGAAATATTTTGATATGATCTGATCTTCTAACTTACTTGAGGTCAGAAAAAGAATGAAAATGATTTCAAATTATACCATGGAGGATTTAGGTCAGAAATCGTTTCCTGACTACAAGGGTTGTTAAATCAATATCTACATATACTACCAAGAGAATTATTTTCTCTAAAGGTCTTAAAATTATAGTACATTTTTCTCTGTAATTGTTAAGGAAATAGTGTGTCCTGAAGGACCAAACCAAGATTTCTATATTATGTCGTTTTGCACACTGAGATGAGCATTTAATAAACCCAGGCCTTAATTTAAACCAGTACAAAACAGGTGTGAATGTAATTTTTCTGAAGAGTTAGGAGTACAAACATTGTTCAACTCTCAAAAACAGTATTTATTACATATCACAAAATGTCATGACTTGGCTCGAAGTTGTAATTTTTTTTTTGAGATTTTTGCTATAGAGTGTGGGAACTCGCTGGAGAGTCAGAGAGACAAAGGCAAGAAGTCATCCCTACGATCCCTCTCCATTCTCCTCTTAGGATTTTGGGCATACACACATGTGTCTGGTGGTGACTTTCAAGTCGCTGGATCTAGTACTTGAACCTGCAGTCAGCCATGTGGGAGCCAGTGCCTCAACCACAATGCTACCTGATGACCCTGTAATTTTTGTTATTAATTAATTTTATTACTATTATTATTATTTAAAAAAATTGCTATAGGGCATGTGCACTCACCAGAGACAGAGACAGAGAGAGAGAGAGAGAAAGAGAGAGAGAGAGAGAGAGAGAAAGCTGCCAGGTCTGGGACTTGAACTGCAATTGGCCATATGGGAGTCCAGTGCCTTAAGCACCATGCTGCCAGCTGGCCCAAAGTTGTATTTTTTTTTTTAATGCTTTGGTTGGTTAGATTTTGCTCATCTATTTTGTAAATAATTCTTTTTAAGTGAGTGAATTCGATGCTTTTCAATGAATTGAAATCCCTCTTTATAAGTCATAAATTTTGATGAGCTTAAGTCCTTTTTTTGTTTCTGTTCTTTTTATTTGTCAGAGGGTACATGTCCTTTCCAGAGACAGAGAGAGGTAGAGGAAGGAAGCACCCCTGCAATGGGGTGCAGTCAGGATGCGATTCCTTCTCCTCCATTTCTCCAACCTGTCTAGATTTTGAGCACTGGCATGTTTTTCAAGCTGTCAGGTTTGGTACTCAAACTGTGTGGCCAGCCATGTGAGGACTGGCTCCCTTAACCACTAGGCCATGGAACAGCCCGGTTAGCTTAAGTTCTGTTTCTAGGTATAGCTTTCCATTTTAGGAGATCATTTCTTAGTCATTTGCCATGTTACCAAAGCATAGGCTTATATTAGTGTTAAATTTAGGCTTTATTGAAGGTTTCATATTGAGGAGGGAGAGAGGTTGAACTCTATAATCTAATCACCATCAGGGACACTAGTGCTATACATTATGTCATATATTATGCTGTCCTCTGAAGTGCCCATCAGTGATTACTGTCAAAGACTGGATATTAGACTGGATGACTATTGGACTAGGCTGATGGCCTCAGGCTTAAAAACAAATACTGTGCAAGTTATTTGAATTTATGAAAACAATTATACAGTGTTATATTTGAGATTTAATAGCGTAAAAGTCAAGAGTTTTTTTTTAACTTTTGACTTAGTTATGACCTTTTCCTTGCGTGTATTTATAATCTCTCAGAATGAGTTTATACAATAAGTGTGTAGTCACATGGTATGTTATATATGTAAGAAATGGAGAGATTATAGGTGAACATATTTCTGGATAGTATCTACTGCATAATCTGTCACTGGCCCAATTTCACGATCACGTAACGAAAGATCCTTCCACAGTTAAGCCTATTAGGGCTGTTTAACTCTGAGTCTTCTAAATATTTTGTGATTTCTATTTCTAAATTTATGTTACATTAGTATAATATAGTAGTATATGTTAATTTTTTTTCATGAGAGCTACTTATATGAAAAAGCAATAATACTAATGAAGACTTAACATATTTTTTTTGAGAGTTTTTTTTGTTTGTTTGTTTTTGTTTTTACTATAGGGTGCGTGTGCTCTCCAGACAGACATAGAGACAGAGAGACAGAAAGCGAGAAATCAGCCCACAGGGGAGATGACCATGCTGCAATCCCTTCTCCTCCATTCTCCTCTTGGGATCTTGGGCATGCACACATACGCGCCCGGTGTGAGTTTAAGCCTCTGGGTCCCGGACTCGAACTGCGGTCGACTACATGGTAGTCCAGCGACATAGCTATTACGCTAACTGCTGGTCCCAAGAATTAACATATTAATTAAAGGCACAACAACAAGAGAACACGATGGCATGCGTTGCAGACTGGATCATCATGCTCATTCTCTGAACAGAGTCAACTTCTTCCTGAATATGCTTTTACATCCATCATTTGTCCTATTCCTTACAACTTAAATAATAAAAAAAAAATATTGGAAAGAAATGTTTGTAGGTTTTGAGACTACTGGTAGCAGTAGCTATCTTTTAGCCAAAGTTAGTGGGAGAGAGAAAAATAGAAAGAAAATATACATTTCTATACAAAGTGTCTGTTCATTTATCCCATATTAAGAACTTTTAATTTGTAAGTTATATGATCATTTGCTTTTTATTAAAATATAGTAAACTCTAGGAAATTTGGGCTGAATGTAGAGGATTGTCTGATATAAAAATTAGTAATGACTTTATTTCTATAAAAAATGAGGTTTTATTGTATTTACATGTAGAGAGTACCTAGAGAAGATTAATGAAGTGGCTAAAAGAGGAAGGGATGTGCTTTCATGAAATGGACAGAATAATTGGTAATTAGAAATTATTTTTTTTGCCATAGGTTGTACATGAGAGAGACAGAGATGAAGAGAGGGAAAGTGAGAAATCACCTCCCCAGGAGGATGGCCATGCCACAATCCTTCTCCATTCTCCTCTTGGGATTTTGGGCTTGCATGCACACACACCTGGTATGATTTTCAAGCTACCAAGTCTGGCACTCGAACCACAGTCAGCCATGTGGGAGTTCAGTGCCTTAACTACAATGCCACCTGCTGGTCCCAGAACAGTAATTACTTTAGTACTTAAAAGTATGCAATATTTAAATTATTTTAATTTGGTATTCTATTCTGAAAAGCTATCAGACACTAGTTAGTGTTATTTCTTTGTACTTATTTAACTTGTTAAAGAATTGAGTAGTGGTTAACATCATAGAACTTTGGGT